GATCCCTGTGGCGACTGTGCGCGCGTGGACGCTGGGTATTTTCTGGGCGATTATTATCCCTGGATTGAACCAGTTTTTCTTCTTCCGGTATCCGGCTGTTACGGTTACGAGCGTCAGTCTCTTCCCTTTTCTGTTTATTTTATTTTATTGCCCTTTACCTCGTCCTTGTATTTTTATTTTTATTTTTACCTCGTCCTTGTATTTTACATTTCATTACATTACCCTCCGCCTCGTGCGCACGCCCCGCGCTCTTCGCTTCGCTTCACATTTCATTTCGCCTCATTGTCATTTTCGTGGCGTCTTCTTCGCTCGCCTCGTTTTGTTCTCCTCGGTTCTCCGCTCTCGTTATTTCATTACCTTTACCTTCCCGCCCTCCATTTTTATTTGCCCCCTCTCCGTTCATTTCCCCATCTCCCTCTTTAATTTTACTCCCTTCTTCCGTTTCTGCCCATCCCCGAATTTATTTTCACAAATGCTGATTTCCCCCCCACACAGATCGTCGCCCAGCTCCTCACCTTCCCCCTCGGCCGCGCATGGGCCCGCCTCTTCCCCAACATCTCCCTCTTCGGCCTCCAGCTCAACCCCGGTCCGTTCTCCATCAAGGAACACGTCCTCATCACAATCATGGCCGGCGTCGGCGCGGGCTCCGCCTACGCAACCGACATCGTCGCAGTCCAGCGGGTCTATTACGATCAGACGTACAACTTTGGGTACCAGTGGATGGTCGTCATGTCCACGCAGCTCATCGGGTTCTCGATTGGAGGCATCGCGAGGAGGTTCTTGGTGCAGCCGCCGAGTATGAGTGAGTTTTCTCTCTTCTTTTTGTGGAGTGGTATATCGCCTGCGGCGCCGCAGGCCCTTTTCACGAGTTACTAATACGAAAAAAACACAGTCTGGCCCTACAACCTCGTCACCTGCGCCCTCTTCAACACGCTCCACGCGCAGCAATACGCCGGCGTCGGCTCCCGCGGGGGGTTCTCGCGCGAAAAGTTCTTTTATGTCGCGTTTGCGGGGAGCGCGATTTGGTATTTGGTTCCGGGGTACCTGTTCACGGGGCTGTCGTTCTTCAGCTGGGTGTGCTGGATTAAGGTGGGTTTTTTTTTTTTGCGTTCTACTGTTCGTCCCCCGAGGAGGAGAGAGGGAGGGGGTGAAAGAAAACACGCACGCACGCTGACGCGCGTTTGCTTTTGTAGCCGAACAATATCGTCGTGAACCAGCTGTTTGGTGTGAATTATGGGCTGGCGATGGGGATGGTTACGTTTGGTGAGTGGGCGATTCCTCTTCCTCTTCTGTCTTCCTCCCTGCCTTCCCTTTCCCCCTTCCCCTCGCCTTTCTCTCTCTCTTCGCTCGAACGCCGACTACCGTCATCATCCCCCCCAACGCTCGCTGACGCTCCCCACCCACAGACTGGGCCCAAATCACCTACATCGGCTCCCCCCTCGCGACGCCCTGGTGGGCCGAGGCCAACATCGCCGTCGGCTTTGTGTTCTTCTTCTGGATACTTACTCCGGCGTTATATGTGCGTTTTTCTTTCTTCTCTTCTCTTCCTCTCTTTTTTCGAGTTCTATCTTTTGCGTATGAGACGGATTTCCTTTTTGGGACATAATCCCAATTCGGAAGTCCCGCCCTACCTACCCACTTGCCCCACACTTCCGCAGATCACCTTTCATCCGCGCGCGCGCCTATTCGTATAGGCGGTTGTGGGTCCACGGCCCCACATCCCCGCCCATCTGCCGCGTATGGCTTCTTGCTGCGGAATGTCAATACTTACCGATGTGGGTGCTGGTGCGGGATGCCGTACGCTATGTATGGGTGCTGCGCGGCGTCTTTCTTTTATTTTGATTTTGATATTGCGCAATGCGCGCCTGTCCACGTCCTGCCGCGTATGGCTTCTTGCTGCGGAATCAATGTGGGATGTGTGGGATGTGGGTGCTGGTGCGGGATGCCGTACGGCGCGCGGTGTCTTTCTTTTCATATTTATATTTGTGGGAGAGATCCTCGTCGCTTCGGCTTCGACTTCTTTGGCGGGCGGGCGCTTTTTTTGTGGGGAGCGTCATCGATGGCGTGCATGGGCGATGGCGTGGGAGCTTCCCGCCTCCCTCCTCCCTCTTCTCCCTCCTTCCTCCTTCCTCCCTCCTTGCTCTGTATCTTATTATCATGACAACTCGCTTCCCCCCGAACCGCTCGCTAACCCTCGCTCCCTTAGTTCACCAACACCTTCTACTCAAAGTACATGCCCATCTCCTCCGGCGGCTCCTTCGACAACACCGGGGGCTCGTACAACGTCAGCAGGATCCTCACGCCGGAGAAGGTGTTCGACGAGGAAAAGTACAAGAAGTACAGCCCCATCTTCTTGTCGACGACGTTCTCGATCTCGTATGGGCTGTCGTTTGCTTCTATGTGAGTTTTTCTTTACTTTTCTTTGTTTTTTTTTGGGGGGCGGGGGCACGTCGCGGTGACGTTGCGTCGCGTCGACGCCTTGCCCTCCCCCTCCTTCCCTCTTTCCTCTTTATCATCCTCCTTGCGCCCATGCTGACACCCTAATTACAGCACCGCCACGATCACGCACGCCTTCCTCTTCTTCCGCAAGCAGATCTGGACGCAGTCGCGCCGCGCGATGCACGAGCAGCCGGACATCCACGCGCGCCTGATGGCGGTGTACCCGCAGGTGCCGGAGTGGTGGTATGCGATCATCTTTGGTGGGTCTCTTATCTTTTTTCTTGTATCACCACCAGTGGCTCCACCCCGCCTCTTACTTTCGAGATATAAAACCGAAGCTGACTATTTTTTGTTTTTGTTTTACAGTGACCATGTTCGTGTTCGGCGTCGTCGCGATCGAGGTGTGGGACACCAAGTTCCCCGTGCAGTACTTCATCCTCGCGTTGGTCATCTCGTTCTTCTACGTTATTCCTAGTGCGTCTTCCCCTCTCCCCTTTTTAAAAAGATTTTTACTGACGGCGCGACAGTCGGCATGATCCAGGCCATTACGAATCAGCAGGTCGGGCTGAACGTTATTACGGAGCTGATCATCGGGTACGCGCTGCCTGGGCGCCCCGTCGCGATGATGATGTTCAAGACCTGGGGCTACATCACCATGGCACAGGCCCTCACGTTCACGTCCGACTTTAAGCTCGGGCATTACATGAAGATCCCCCCGCGCCACATGTTCACGAGCCAGGTCATCGCGACTGTGCGTGCCCTTTTATCCCATTTCATGAATGAACGCTAAGCCTCGCGCAGATCATCGCCGGCACCGTCCAGCTCGGCGTCCAGGCCTGGATGTTCACCAACATCGAGGGCATGTGCGACCGCGACCAGAAGGACGGCTTCTGGTGCCCGTCCACCGGTGTCTTCGGCACGGCGTCGATTATCTGGGGTGTCATCGGCCCTGCGCGGCAATGTGCGTCCCTCTCCCTTCCTTTCCTTTCCTTTGCTTTTATTTCATGTGTACTCATTATATTTGCACTACAACAGTCTCGCACGGCCAGATCTACTATGCCCTGACGTTCTTCTTCCTCATCGGCTTCCTGTGCCCGCTCATCGCGTGGCTCTGCACGCTCAGGTGGCCTAACAGCTGGCTCCGGTATCTCAAGTGCGTTTCCCTCATAATCATTCTCAGAAGTCTTTGCCGATGTTAATATTTAATGTCTTAATAGCTTCCCCGTCATCTTCTCCGGAACTGGCCTCATCCCGCCCGCCAACTCGAACAACTACGTCCCCTGGGCGATCGTCGGGTTCATCTTCCAGTATGTCATCCGCCGCCGTCATTTCGCGTGGTGGACAAAGTACAATTGTGCGTCTTTCCTTCCTTCCCTTCCGTACTTGAATATGAATACATGCTAACGCACCGCCCGCACAGACGTCCTCTCCGCGGCGCTCGACTCGGGCGTCGCCGTCTCCGCCGTGCTCATCTTCTTCATCCTGCAATACCCGCAGAACGGGAACATCGGGCTCCACACGATCCAGTCGTGGTGGGGGAACACCGTGTGGCTCAACACCGCCGACGGGAACAAGACGCCGCTCATTGCGCTTGCGGACGGGGAGACGTTCGGGCCTGCGACGTGGTAGACCCTTCTCTTCGACTTGGGATGATGGAGGGAGGGAGTGTACGCTATCTACGTATTTTTACGAGAATTAAGAAATATATCTACGAGAGAAATGAGGGGTGTGTAGCGTACGATCCGATTTAAAATATGACTGCTTTTCTTGACTTGCGCGTGCTTGTGAGAGCGGAGTCTTATTCGGAGTTCTGAGCTGAATCTCCGAATCTGTCACCTTGCATAAAGTCCACTTTCGCACCGATTCGCACCCTTGCTTGTACATGTCCTCCACCTCGCAACGATTCGTACCCCATTGGAGATGATTATCGCAAAAAAAACTCTCTTTCGCCGACGCGACTCGCATGGTCAAGGACAGGTCAAGGAGATATAACGTTAACATTCAGCCACTCCAGCTATGTAGCGGCGACAGCGACACCGGCTCTTGGCTCACCGGTCGCCCAGCTACGCTAACAAGTTGACAACCTATTTACCTCGGTTAATCGAACACCCACGGCGGCGGCCAATCATTCGCCGTTTGACAAAATCAAATACTCTGTCTATCGTCTATCGTCCGCGAGTCAAAATTTTTTTTGGTCGCGCGTATTTTACACTGCTTTGTGCAGCACCCTTATCTCTCTCTCTTTTCGGGTTCTCAGAAATCTCCCTATAGTACTCCTGGCTCCACGCGCACCCACGCCCAGCTGACGGGACAGCAAGCCCAGCTTTTGCTAGCACGCGCGCCCCACCCTCAATTGGGCAGGTACTCCACCACACCCCAGTCCCGGAAGTAGAAGGTGTAAAAAAAGAAAGTTTTGGTGTTCGACGGCCAGTGGCACGGCCGCCCGTTTATTTTTGGTGCTCATACGTCCCACTGCGTCTGGATTGAACGCAGCGCATTTTCACTTGGCACAAAATTCCATCACCTCCGGGTCTATTCCGCATTGCCCCAGTGCAACTCTCAGTCTCGTGGTCCAACGGTACGACGCCAGCAATCCTCCCAATTGAGATCAGCCGGATATTGCGGGTTCAATTCCCGCCGGGGCGATTGATGTGCTTTTTTTACTTGCTATGATACATTATCATGGAATTCAATTGAATTTGACAAGTTGACGGTTTGTGGGTCCGTATTTGGTTGATCGCGACGCGTGTAATGGACACGTGATAACTTTGATTCGAAAGTTCTGGCTCAAGTTCAAGTTCGACAAGTTGGCAAGATCCCGCATTCATTTGACTTGGTGGACGAAAACGACGAAAACAACGTGGTTCCCGAGTTTCTGTTTTCCTATTCCTCCGCTCTCTATGTCCTATTTCTCTTTGGTATAGCTCCACGTGCTTGAGCCAGAGTTGCAGTTAAGAGTTAAGGCTTAATTAAGGTTAAGCCTTAAAAACCCCTTAATAATAGGGCTTAAATTCAGCTGGAACCATAATTAAGGGCCTAATATTGACGTAAGTATGCTTACTCTCACTAAATATTTGTGTACTTACTGACTGTAACATGGGCTGCATGAGAACAATTGAGTACGGGGAATGGCTGTGGACACAGAAAGGACCCACGGGGGGAGTGTTTTGCTTTTTGTAGGTCCTTGGGACATGGTTTGAGCCGTTTTTATATGGTGGGAATTTTTCAGCTAAGCCTTAATTAATCCAGCCCTTATTAACCCTTATTAAGGGATTAAAGGCTTAACCAAAAATTTTACCCTTATTAACCCCTTAGTTTCCTTCGACGCGTCGCATCCTCGGCGCGTGTTTGGGACGCGATTTCGGCGCCCAAATACCTAATTAATACATTCAGAGAGTTGGGTCCCGGGTTGGCCTAATATGCTGTCAAAACATGGCGGAAAAATGGGGTAGTGCCATCATGATGGAACTACGCTTGCAAGTCTTCAAGGGTACCATTGTCCTAATTCAGAGCATCCATTCCAGGAATTTTATTGGGGGCATGGACATGATATGATATATTTCAGCTTGGAAGAAACTTGCAATTTTATATTTTTGCTCAACCAACACCCTGTTGAATGCAACAGCTGAAGCGTCCCCGTGCTACGACTGCGTATTAAGACAAGTATCCAATATTACGCACGGATGGTCTACTGCGCTTCGAAAAAAATTGGCTCCAGGCCGCTTACACATTTTTGACTGTGTTGGGTTTTTCTTCTTCTTTACACCTCGAGACCGAGTTTGTACCTCTGGAGTACATTTTGGGGATCAAATTCTCATTCCTCAAGGTCTACTGTAGTTATAGATTGTAGAAATTGCGAGACTCACTTTGAGACCAACCAAAATGAAGCTAAATTTGTGCGGTGACTCGGAGGGCGCCACCGGTATATGTGTTCAGACGGGAACACACTGACTTGAAGCTGAGATAATCCTACGACCAAATCTCACCACTTGCAAGAAAATTGAAGCTCGTGAGGTCTTCACGCAAAATCCAACAAAGCTTAGGAGGTGTTTTTAAGTGAGGAGTAGGTTAGTTGACTGGAGTAAAAAAAAGTTTCTGTACTGAAACGGACAGTTTCCCTTTAATCTAGTGTGTGGGAATTGCTCTTCGGGCATCTCGGAGATCTTTCCTTTTTCGATTTATTTTTCGCTTTCTTTTCCATTTTATACCAGTATAACCATCGGAAAACCCCTCAAGCTCTTCCCCTGCTTCTGAATTTCTCATCCGGCAAGGTTCCACCGACCCCGTTGAACTAAAATTACCGCATCCCGCTGTATGCTGTAGCACTGCCATCTGACTACCATACTTTTTGTGCTTCTTGTTCTTGAAATTTTCCCCTGTACCACAAGTCCGCGACATCGCCTGACCTTCTCCCTCGGTGTATGTGGGCAGGCCTGCCTGCAGACTGAACCAGGACTTTACGTACGGAGAAACTGTCAAATCCAAGCCTCCCAATATAAATGTCCTCCAGTGCAATTCCCACATGCATCACCAGTCGCAGGTACCATGTCCATTAAGAGCAAAATCGCCACGCAACCCTGTATCGGGTTACATATTTCTTCTAGCAGGAAGGGGAGGATTCGGATGAGGAAACGGCAGTGATCGCCCAAGGCCCAAGGCCTTACAGTAAAACTTCAAGCCCTTAACAAGGCCTTGACCAAGGCCTTAGTGATTTTCGGCCGGAAGTTCCGCCCTTGGCCAAGCCTTAGAGCATCACGTGAATATCACTATGTCATTTTATTTTCCCATCTTTTCTTCTCCGTCAATGCGCGCTATTGTTCGGTGGGGCAGAGAAACCGTGCGCACGCAAGCCGTCTGCACGGGCACGCTGTGTTCATTAAAAGGTCCCAGCCGGGCCGTCAGGATCGTCACTCGTGATTTCACAGCTTTAGACGCCGTCTATTACAGCATTGTGGACGCTAATTGTCAACAGCATTAGGCGCCCGACTCATCTCTCTTTCCCCTCACACCCCCATGGCAGAGGCACTTGGAATCGTGACTGGGAGCATCCAGCTCATCGATACGGGGCTCAAGACCCTTGAATACGTCAAAGACTTTCTTCACGCACCGGAGGAACAGCGGAAGTTGGTCGCAGAGATGGCCACGCTCAAGCCGATGCTCGTGGAGCTCGAGAAACGAATTCGCGCTAACCCGTCGAGCCAGGCTCTTCAGCAGATCCAGGAGCCGCTACTGAGGTTCAAGGCTGCGTTAGGGCACTTCATCGACACCTTACGTCCTGCAGAAGGCCGTATATCCAAAGTCTCGAAACAGTTGACGTGGACACTGTGGAATAAGAAGCAGGCCCAGGAGCAGCTTGCCGAGTTTGAACGTATCAAGTCCTTGTTCACTGTCTGGTTGATAAATGATGTCTGGTGCGTGCCCTCGATCCGGTGCAACGACATTCGGTTTACTCGAGCATTAGGGACGCGGACATAACTGCCCAGCGAGACAAAGTACTTGAATGGATGACCTCCATCAATTTTTTCCAGAGACAGTCCGATATATCCAGCGCTTGGCTGCCAGGAACCGGCGAGTGGTTGCTTGCGGACGCCGAATTCCGAGATTGGGAATCAAATGCCCAACGAATCCTCTGGTGCCGCGGAATGCGTACAATATCCTGCTCAGTATTTTATCTATCCGCTAATCTGCACCTTCACAGCGGGAGCTGGGAAAACTGTCCTTGTGTGCGTGGTCCATTGACTCGTTATTTTTGCATGACCGCCAATGCATACTGTTAATAGATCGATGGTCATAAATCATCTTCGGTCCCTGAACGCAAACATCGCCGTCGCATGCATTTATTTGAACCACAAGGAAATCGAGATGCAAACGCCAGTTAATCTTCTTGCCAGCCTCTGGAAACAGCTTGTGGTTGGCAGACCTATGCCGTCTGCAGTGCACAAGTTGTACAAAGACCATTACGAACGAGGGACCAGACCATCGCTGGATGAAGTTTTCCAGATACTTCGCTCTGCCATTGCCGAGTATTCGAAAGTTTATTTGATTGTGGATGCTTTGGATGAATATCCAGAAGCCCCACGGCTCAAATTGCTCGAATATCTATCGATGGCGATGGCGGTACCCACCGTCAATCTGATGTTCACTTCACGGCCCCACATTACCCTGGACCCCTTCTTTCCAGGCCGACGCACCCTAGATATTAATGCAACTGAGAACGATATTCGCAATTATATCGAAATGTACCTCCGGAAATCTCCCCGCCTATCTAAACACGTTCGGACGCGCCAGGGATTGAGTGAAGAAATCAAGTCTAGAATTCTCAGCAATGTCGAGGGAATGTGGGTATCTTTCCGGTTCAAAATGAGATGAACTTTATGTATTTGTACAGGTTCTTGCTTGCTAAACTTCATCTCGATTCTCTCTCGACGAAGAACACTGTTAAAGCCGTACGGGACACCCTTAACCGTCTACCAAAGGACTTGGACCGCACGTATGACGAAGCGATGGAACGAATAGACCATCAGAACGAGGACGATCGACAATTGGCTCATTCGGTTCTGACCTGGGTGGCATACGCAGTCCGTCCTTTGCTTGTCAATGAGCTTCGCGAGGCTTTGGCAATCGAACCTGGAGCCGAATCTGTTGATCCCGACAATCTGTTGGATACCGACATCATTTTATCTGTTTGTGCTGGCCTGGTCATTGTCGATGAGGCGGTGTCTGTGGTTCGGTTGATCCACTACACTACACAGGAATACATGCACACCATCCAGCCACGTCGATATCCCGGGGCTCTAACGGAAATTGCGTCCAGAATCTTCACATACTTAGCTTCCCCAGCCTTTTCAAATCTGGCAGATTCCGTGGACGAACAGATGGAACAGGTCACATTAGCTTCCCTGACAGAGTTTTCAAATCTGCCAGATCCCGTGGACAAGCAGGCAGAACTGGTCCTGAAGCACCCGTTGCTTGGATACAGCCAATATTGCCTTTTATATGCTGAACAGTCTGAACTGCCTCTCCAGAAGGAAATTGAATCTTTCCTTGCCACAGCTCATTCCTGGCAACGTTTTTGGTGCTCTTACCACTTGAGCTTCAAACACCGCTCACATCTGATGTACTACTGGGGTTATCCAGGCTGGCAGTCATCAGCCACACCACTGTGCATTTCAGCAGCAGCCAACTTGTCAATTACTACCAAACACTTTTTGACTATGGGGGAATTTGAAAGGAAGGACGGCTTTAATGCTTTGTGTGTCGCTGCATACTACGGCCACCTGGAAATGGTTCAGCTTTTGGTTGAAAATGGTGTTGACATCAACCACAGTGATCATGGACAATTCGAGGAGGCTCTTCAGGCCGCTGCCGAAATGGGCCATGAGTCGGTTGTTCGATTCCTCATCCAACTGGGTGCCAATGTGAACGCGCAGGGACCAGAATCTGGAACCATGCTGCATCCACGCTTGTGCTGGGGAAGCAAACTTGGCTCACTCAATATTGTTCATCATATTGAGCAGGGTGCTTTTGACACAACACAAGTTTTATATGGAACTGCATTGCATACTGCATCATTCCACAGGCGCGAGTCAATTGTTACACTCCTGATTGAGATGGGTGCCGACACAAACATTCAGGGAGGCTACTTC